GCCTGCAAGAACTGCTTGGTGCTTGTTTATATTTTATTGCATTCAAATCACATCAGTTTTATGACCCTTGGGCACAAATGAATAATACTTTATAATACTTTGTTCAGAATTCCACAAAGCTTATACTATACAGTTATCAAAATCCATCATGGAAGCTTTTTCTACCACTTTTCCAGGTGAAGACATAAAGCAGCAGTCCTGTCGGGCAGAAGCTGCCCTTGCCCTGTGCTCTCACTAGCTGGTGGACCGTGTCCTAGCTGGACCCACAGGGTTGCGACTGGGTGGCCCTGGTGATTCATCCATCCTGTGTGAGCCCTGATCGCATCCTAGCGGTTCCTTTGTAGGAATGCACAGGCTGTGAACATGTGGAGGACCAAGGTGACAACTGAAGGGGACTGGAGTGCTGATGATTTGATTATTGACCTCACAGCCTGTCACAAAGCTGCTGAGTCAAGACAGTGTGGTATTGGTGCCAACCCAGGCAACCAGGGCACAATAACAGGACCAAGAACAGAGAATCGACTAGGCCTCTGCAGCCAGTTGATGGTCAACAACCGTGCAAGAGAAGGAAGCCAGTGGAAAGTGAGTAGTGTTATCCACAGGTGGGAGGAAGGAAGGGGGAGGAAGGAAGGAAGGAGGGGAGGAAGGGAGGGAGGGAGGAAGGAAGGGGGGAGGGAGGGAGCCACACTTTTCACTGTCGGTTGGAAAGTGTTGCATGCATTCTAAAGTTGTTTTTACATTTCTTTAATATATCGGGAGGGAAGAAGGAAGGGGAAGGAAGGGAGGAGGAAGGAAGGGGGAGGAAGGAAGGAAGGAGGGGAGGAAGGGAGGGAGGGAGGAAGGAAGGGGGGGAGGGAGCCACACTTTTCACTGTTGGTTGGAAAGTGTTGCATGCATTCTAAAGTTGTTTTTACATTTATTTAATATATCTGTGTGTGTTCATGTGTGCAAGCGCATGTGCATGCATGAGTGCCATGGCACATGCATGGAGCAGAGGACAACTGGTAGAAACTGTCCCCTCTTTCTGCCATGTGGGCTCTAGGTATCAGAACTCAGGTCGTTATGCTTGGTGGCAAGTAATTTCCTTTTTTAAAATATTTTATTTTCTCTTTTATGTGTATGAGTGTATTGCCTGAATGTAGGTAAGCGCACCTGTGTCATGCAATGCCCACGGAGGTCAGAAGAGGCCACTGGATCCCATGAAACTGGAGTTATGGATGGTTATTAGCCGCCCTGTGGGTGCTGGGTATTGAGCCTGGGTCTCTGAGAGCAGTGAGTGCTCTTAACCGCTGAGCCATCTCTCCAGCCCAGTGGTATGGACCTTTATTTCTTGTCCTGAAGTGATACATTCTTATTGTAGGAAATCTGGAACCTATGGAAAGATGTAGGCAATAAAAGGTCTGGGGCTAAAAGTCCAGCATGGTGGCACACACCTCTAGTCCTAGCACTTGGAGGCAGAGGCAGGGGGACTACTTTGGAAGTACTGAGTAGCTGAGGGTACATAGTGAGACCCTGTCTCCAAAACTACATATGAGGGCTGGGGACATGGATCAGTGAGTGGGCAAAGGGCTTGGTATAGAAGTGTAAGAACCAGAGCTCAGATTCCCGGCACCAGTGTAGAAGCTGGTAGGTGTGGCAGTCCACCTGTTAACCAGGGCTCAGAAAGCAGACAGGGGATCTTTGGGCCACCCCAGCTAGCTAGACTCACTGAATTAGTGAGCTCTGGGTTCAGGGAGAGACGCTTCCTTAGTAAACAGAAAAACTGAAGAAGATACCTGCGGTCACCCTCTAGTTTTCACACACACGTGCACCTACACACAAGTGTGAGTTTACACACATGCAAACATGCATACACATGTACACCACACACACACAAGCAAAGTGTACAGCACACACAGTGATATATGTTCCAGTGCTGGTGGGAAGAAACGGCTCTGGGGGCCACAAGGACCACAAAGGCCACACTTGCCACTGTGAGGACAGCAGTCAACTGACTTTTGGAGCCATGTTTCCCTTATCTTCATGATGGGCTAAAATTATCCGCAAGGCTTAAATAAGATAAGGCATGCCGTCCTTCCTTCCAGCTTGTTTTCCGTGTGCCGTCCTTCCTTCCAGCTTGTTTTCCGTGTTGTATTCAATGCCCGTGAAATACACATCAGCTCCCTATGCAGCAGGTCCCAACAGCACAACTGGCTCAGTAGCATGTCCTTCTCAAAATCTCAGCACAGGGCCTTTGCACCTGCTGGCCCCTCATCCTAAACAGTCACCGTTCCGGTGTCTTCATTGCAGTTAGAGACCCAGCTGGTCTCTCTCTGGCCTGCCCTCTGAAGGAGCCCGAGTTATGCAGATCATGTATAATTACAGTCGTATGCCATGTTACTGACACTTCAGTCAATGACAGTCTGTAAACATGACAGTAATCCCGCAGACTATAACCCAGCTGCACCAGGCAAAGGAGCTCTGAGGGCTTCAGCACAGCACAGGTTCAGCCACAGAAAGGCACTAGGGAGCCACGGAAGACCTTCGACCAAGGCGCTGGTGAGGGCTGCTGGCATCCCAGAACGAGCTGTTGGGCAGAGACCTGAACTGTCCTAGGCCACCTGTGCCAGCTGCCCAGGGAGTGGGGGACCAACCAACCAGCAGCTCCAGCCAGGCCCAGCTCTTCCAGGAGGTCCCTGCAGGGAGTGGACTGTGATCATCCTGAGCAGGAGTCTAGGTGGCACTTGCTTAGATCCCCATCCATCCTGACAGGAGCCTGCTCAGGAACAGTCCTCACCAACTCTGCTGTGTGCTGCCTCCTCCTGCCCCGGGAGGGGGATCAGGAATGTGGAGGCCCCTCCAGGAAAAGGACAAGGCTCTCCTGGGAAGGAGGAGTCTGCACACATGTCTTCCCACATTCCTCAGCTGGGACAGCTCCTCAGAGCCCAGAGTTGCTGCTCACCTTTCCCTCCTGTTCCTAAGAGCAGGCTCTGTCCACAGGGGACACTGTCCTGAGAGCTCTGTCCACAGGGGATGCTGTCCACAGAGGGGTGTGTCTGGGTTTTATTGACAAGAATGGCCTTGTGAGGCCCAAGTGGATGTAGATGCTGATGGAACAAGGGCCTCAAGGACACCTAGCAGAGATACTGATCCCTGGGCCATGAGCTAGTCCCAGCCCAGGCTGGTCCTGTCCACACAGACACAAAGCACACACCTGAATTCATCCAAGTCATCACACAAAAAAAAAGGGTACAGATACATACACACACACCCCACACACAGACACAGACACAGACACACAGACACACACACACACACACACACACACACACGCAAAGACTCAGACAGACACAGACAGACACACACACACACACACAAAGACTCAGAACACAGACACTCAGGCACACACATATTCAGACCCTTATACATACACACAAAAAGACACATGTGGACACGGACTCATTCACATATAGACAGACACCGACAGATATAAAAACAGACAAGTTGAGCCCTGAGAGTTCGCCATGCCTATAATTGCTGCACTTGGGAGGTAGAGGTAGGATGATCAGGAATTTAAAGTCATATTCAGCTTCATACTTGGAGGCCGGCTTGGGCTACATGAGACCAAGTCTCAAAAAAGTAGAAAAAAAGGATGGGTATGGTGGTGCATGCCCTTAATCCCAACCTTCAGGAGGCAGAGGCACGTGGACCTCTGGCAGTTCAAGACCAGCCTGGTGTACACTGTGAGTTCCAGGCCGGCCAGGGCTACATAGAGATGCTATCTCCAAAAAAGGCAGAAAGGTGGGGATGGCTCAGCAGGGTTAGGGACCTCTTTCTGTGCAAGGCTGGTGAACTGAGTCAACTCCAGAATCCAGAATCCAGAATCCAGAATCCAGAGGGTCAGAACTGACTCCATAAATGTGTCATCTGACTTTCACACATACCTCATGGCATGATTGCCCCTCACACCCGATAATGGAATTCTAAAGAAAAACGTGAGAAAGCAGGTATGAAGTTGCTTTTTGAAAGCAAAACAAAACTGAACCCCGTTAAAAAACAGAGGCGTGGGGAGGACTGGAATGCCGGAGCGGAGGGGCTGCCACAGGGTCCTGGGGTAGCTGGAGCACTTCCCAATGGTTGGGTATAACACAGACTACCAATTATCACTGTCCCTTCCTGCAGGATGGATTCCTTCGATTCCTTCGAGGATACTCTGCGGAGGCTGCGAGAGGCCTTCAAGGCAGGGCAGACCAGGCCTGTGGAGTTCCGGGTGGCACAGCTGCAGGGCTTGGGCCACTTCCTCGGAGCCAACAAGCAGCTGTTGCAGGATGCACTGGCAGAGGACC